TTCTGCAGAAAAAGAAGAAGAAGGAAAGAATGAGCATAATATAAATCAGCCATCTCTCACCATCACCACCATCATCATCATCAGTGCCACCAAAAGTTTGAAAGGCATGATCAAGAGTCTGCAGCAGCCTCAATGTAGCAGATCACGGCGGCAGTAAATCTCGCCGGTGGAGAGAGCAAGAGACGAAGGATTAGTAGTGGTAGTGCACTGGTGAATAGTGCAAAGGAAAGGCAAATTGAATTGAAAGGGAGCACCACACTTCGGCTCAGCAGCAACGACCAACACTGACGGCGATGGCAGTCGCAGCATCGATCGGTCTCTTCGCTCGGTGCCAAACTGGCAACGGTGCAGAAGCAGTTCAGGAGGCTAAAGCTCACCGCAAAGAGCAGCACGGCAAAGAGGCAGCAGCAGCCTGTCAAAAGTGACACCTGGAATTCGATAGCTCATCTGATACGACCACCACCACCACAACCGCCAACAGCAGCAGCAATCGAATGCACATTTCGCTTTTCAGTTTCCTCTGTTCAGAGCTCTTTCTGCTGCTGCTGCTGCTTCTCATTTGCTCTCTATTTGTCGGACCACTGACGGCGACGAGCAAAGCAGGCCACTCTCTTCATAGCACAGGGACACAAACAAACGAATGAGCCCTCTGGGGCAAAGGCAATAATTAGGATCAGAAGAAGAAGGAGCAATGGCAAACACAAACACTCGCCTACTTGAGCACAAACACTCGCTGTATGAAAACGGGCAAGGGCAAAGGCAAAAGGCGATCTCACCGATTCTTGAGGACGGCTTCTGAGGAGCTGATCAGACCATGCCTGGCAGCATAGCACAGCACTCATCGAGAGTTTGACCCTTGCTCTCCTTCTTCTCTTCCTCCCCGCCATCATCAGTCGTACAATCGAAGCTGTCTGTTTGTTTACACCTCCACACGATCGGTGCAGCAGCAGCACAAGAAGATGAGGCTGAAGAAAGGCAAAGAAGGAGAAGGCTGGGCGGTTTGAAGGTTTGGAGGCACACACTAACACTAACCCATCTTCGACGACGGCTATCATTTCGCACCTAATTACGGCATTGTGGCGGCCACGAACGACGCATCGTTTCGATAAATCATCGAGCTTAGCGAGTGCTCNAAAGAAGATGAGGCTGAAGAAAGGCAAAGAAGGAGAAGGCTGGGCGGTTTGATTGGAGGCACACACTAACACTAACCCATCTTCGACGACGGCTATCATTTCGCACCTAATTACGGCATTGTGGCGGCCACGAACGACGCATCGTTTCGATAAATCATCGAGCTTAGCGAGTGCTCCTCGGCAATGGCTAGAGTGGAAATGAGCTAGAGTCTTCGCTCTCCAACCTTGCGCAAAGCACCAAGAACTGACATGAGCAATAGAAATGTCAAAACGATCAACACAATTTGTGTTTAGTGTTAGTGCAGTGCAAAAAACTATTCACAACTGCACAGGACAAAGGTAAGGTGAAGAAAACACACACACACACACATTCACTTCAGTGTGCTTCAGTGGTCTCAGAGAAAGAAAGAGATGACCCAAGGCAAGATCACAGTAGTGAACTGGTAGTGAGGCCAGAGTGGCAGTGAATTAGAGTGTGTGAGAGTGCAGTGACAGTACTAGTACTAGCACTGCAAACGTCCTTTTTCTTTTCTTCGTCGTCCTCTTCTCTGTGAACTACCTTTCTACACTTGAACGCGATTCCGTAGAAATAACACACAAACAGAGCTTAGGGCTCAATGAAAAAAGTCGACAAGTAAGCAAAAAAGAACAAGGGGAAAAAGTTAAGCAGGAGGAGACAGAGAAAAGCCAGTGAGGTAAACAGAAGTGAAAGGCGAGCAAAAGCTCGCGGCGGGAATTTGCCGCCTCGTTGGGCCCCAATTGTCTTGCCGCAGCAGCAGCAGCACAGGTCGTCGGAGAAGGACAAAGGTGCCCAAATGCTGGGGAGCATGAGGTGTCTGCCGTTGAAGAATGCACTCTTTCTCTTCTCCAACTCCCTCAACTTCATTGCTGATCTAACAGCAACAAGGGAGAGAAACAGAACACGTAATGCTCTTCTCTCCTTATGCGCTAATGCTAATGCGTCGTCAATCGGTTCTGAGCTCATCGCTGACGGATCACCGAGACGAATCAATCTGCCACAGAGGGATAGAACAATAGCACACAAAAAAGAGCTCAACTTCAAACCAAAGCTAAAGACGCCGCTCAAGTGTACTGGTGCTGTGCTGTTCGGTGTTGTAAGACATATGAGCACGGCACTTGAGCAGCGCACTTCGATGAGACACTAATGACGGTAATGACGAACGCCGACAGATCAGCAGCAGCAGCAACAGCAGACAACATTAACAAGACCACAATGGCTGTTGTAATAATCGTAAAAGAAGACAGTTCACTTGTGGTATGTGTGGTTGTGTACTCCCTCTCCCTCGCAGTTGAAGGAGACAAAGGTCGCGACATTGCAGACACACTGCAGAAGGACCGTGCTCGGCCGAGATTGCAGCCAAAGGCAGCAGCAGCAACAGCAGCAGCAGAGAGTGCATGGCCAGAGGAAGGCAGGCAGGCAACACAGATTGATCGCAGGCAAAAGCAACAGCAGCAGCAGCAACTTCGACTAGACTTGTAAATTAGCAGATGACGACGAGATGACTAGACTTCAGTTGCTGAAGTAGAGTGATCGCGCTTGCGACACTGAAGAGCCAAGTAAAAGAGAGATACGGCAATGATAAGAACAGAGGTTGCCAATCGACTGAACAAGACAAGAGAAAGAGAGAGAGGTCATTAAAGACCATGTTCAGTGGCCGGCGATGTGGTCGTTGCTTGTTATGGTACCGAGTGAAACCAAAAATAGGCCCAGGTCGGCACTAAGTAATTTGGAATAAAATGTGGACTACTCTAAGCAACACATGGCAGCAACAATGACAGTGAGTGAGCAAAAAGACAATGAGATAAAAAGGAAACACAATTAAGCTTACATCGTGGACGAATTGGTCAAACTGGTCCTGTTCTTCAGGCAAGATGTCAAGAAGAGATGTTCGTTTGTTGTTGGCGTTGCTGTTGTTGTTGATGCCGGCGGTGGAGCGAAGTGCAGCGCTGAGAAGCGATGAGAAGCGGCTGTTGCTGTTGCTGCTGTCGGTGAGATTGTCGTCATCGGCCTGTGGTAAGGACGAAGACAGTCGACGGACAAAGTCCTCCAGTGGGCTGATCGTCGATGACATTTCGTCAAGATCTTCGCCAAGAGGCGGTGATAGGTTTCCACCAGCACCACCATTTGCTGGAGAGTTTGCGTTGTTCACGTCCACCTCAACCATCAGAGGCGGCGGCGGTCGCTGCTCTGCGGTGGTCAGCTTTCGCTGAAGGACCGCAAAGACGGACTCGTAGTGGGCACATCGCTGCTCGAGACTGTCCACACGAGACTGCAGCTGTACGATGAGGACGACGGCGGCAATGGAGAGGAGTATTCCGAGGACACTCAGTAGAGTGGTCATGACAAGAAAGAGGAGATTGCTGGTGGCGGCAGACTGCACACGCTGCCGTTGGTGCACCTTTCCATGCGACGAATGTGAAGGACTAGAGGGTGAGGAGGAGGTGGTGGTGATGGAGGAGGTGTTGTTGGATGAGGCGTTGAAGGCGCTGCTGTTGCCGCCCAGTAGAGACGTTGCTGAGTTGAAGAACGCCGGTGGAGACCATTTGCTGCGACCGGCGGTAGTTGTGGTGGTGTTTCGATTTGGCGATAAAGACTTCTCCGGACTGCCGGGCCGTTTACTTCCGCCGCCGCCACCGCTCTTCTGGTCACTCTTCTTCGGACCATACAATGGCCCCATGGTGGCGGAGAAGAGTCAAGAGAACGAAGAGGTGAAGTTAACTTGAAGAGAAGGAATCACAAATGAAAAGGGGTGGAAATCGAATGCACACACAATGCAGAAACACCTGAGACACTGGAAACGTGATGATGAAACGTGAACCACAGAAGCAGAGCGCGTCTTCGTCCGACGACGGCGGGACATCAACTGGCAAAGCTGCGAGAGCGCACTTGGCTGCCACTTTCGAACCACCAATCGCGTTCGGTCTTCGGCGTCCCGTGCTGTCAACAGTGCCACTACTACCCGTCGCCAGCAGAGGTAGTGGCACTGGCCGAAAGCTCTAAGCTGTTTTTGTTCTCCTTTCCTCTAAGGCCCGAGGGCCTTGTTGACCAGCAACACTGATCGCCACTACCATCACCTTCACTGAAGTGCTGTGCGATCAATCACCCTGACCGATCGATCCAGGGTGATCACAAACAAAGATGACCCGGTGTTTTGATGGTTTTCTGGTTCCCTTCAGCTGCTCTTTCTAAATCTCCTCGCCAGATGTCAGCACTGTTTTTTGTTTACGAAAAAAAATCCGAGCAGGCACAACAAAAGAGGTGGAAGCAGCCGTCTGGAACATCTGGTCATGAACTGATCACCTTCTCGCCAACGCCCAGAACAGAATGTCTTCAGCATGATTTGGTTCGGTCTGGGCCTGCTCCTCTTCACCTACCTCTTCTACCACTTCGTGCTGACCGCCATCCTCCTCCTCCTCTACTGGTTCACGCCGTACTTTGAACGGCAACAGCGCCGGNTTGTTTTTTGTTTACGAAAAAATTCCGAGCAGGCACAACAAAAGAGGTGGAAGCAGCCGTCTGGAACATCTGGTCAGGAACTGATCACCTTCTCGCCAACGCCCAGAACAGAATGTCTTCAGCATGATTTGGTTCGGTCTGGGCCTGCTCCTCTTCACCTACCTCTTCTACCACTTCGTGCTGACCGCCATCCTCCTCCTCCTCTACTGGTTCACGCCGTACTTTGAACGGCAACAGCGCCGGCACCAGCACCAGCACCTGCGCCAGCTTCGGCCGCTGCAGAACCAGCAAAACTTCTACCACAGTATCCACCCACATTCCAATAGTTCAAGCTGAACAACATCATCCTCAGCCTCCTCTACCCGGTAGATAGGAACCAGAAGTCTTCGATGGACTTTCAGGTGGTCCGCCTCTGCCTCTTCACCCGCCTGGGCGTCACCCTGCTCGCCGTGGCGGCCAACTTCCTGCCCGACCACGAGTCGGCGGACGCCTTTCGAAATGATCTCCTCGCTCGGTATCCCGTCGACCAGCGGTCTACCCTCGACCGAGCCATTCTCTGGTGGGCAGAGCCGCTCACCCGCTGGGACGCACAGTACTTCCTGGAGATTGCCCACGAAAATGGCTACCGGGAGGAGCAGACGCTCGCCTTCTTTCCGATGTTCCCACTGCTGGTCCGCTACGTCGGCCTCGGCCTCCAGCGGGCCATCCTCTTTCACTTTCCCACGGCGCAGCTGTCCTTCATCTCCTCGCTGATGCTCGCCGCCTACCTGGTCAACCTGGTGGCCTTCACGCTGGCCGGCTGGTTCCTCTACCAACTTACCTACACCGTCTCCCACTCGCGGGCGCAGTCCTATCGCGCGGTGAAGATCTTCGCTTTCAACCCCGCCTCCATCTTCTTCACCGCCTACTACACCGAGTCGCTCTTCAGCTGCCTCACCTTCGGCTCGCTCTACTTCCTCTACCACTACAACCTCTCGGTAGTCAGCTCGGTGCTCATCGCTCTGAGCGCCTACACGCGTTCTAATGGTAAGCGCGATTTTTTTGTGGTTACAAACTCTGAACTTCTAACTTACTCTGATTTCTTTTTCTTAGGAGTCGTCACCTTTCCCTTCATCGCATTCAGCAACCTCATTCACATGCTGTCGATGGCGAAGGGGGCAAGGGCTTCTCCTGCCTACCTCTCCCTCCGCTTCTTCACCGTCACCGCCCTGGAGGCGCTCATCTGCCTCATTCCGCCCGTTCTCTTTCAGTGGTCGGCGTGGGTGCAGTTTTGCCGCGACACTACCACTACTTCATCCTCCTCCTCCTCCCCGAAGCCCGTCTGGTGTCAGGGCGACACCTTCAGCCTGCCGTACTCGTACGTGCAGGGGACGTACTGGGAGAACGGCTTCCTCCGCTACTACCAACTGAAGAAGATACCCAACTTCCTCATGGCCGCACCGACGCTCCTCCTGGTGATCACCTCGACGCTGCTCTACCTGCGCCGTCACCGCCACCACCTGCTCGCTCTGCTGGTCGACCACTTCAGCCCCTCCTACAATCCGCAGCTGTCCATCACGGCGCTCACCGAGCACAGCGCCTACGTCGTACAGCACCAGCCGCAACCACAAACACAGCCACAACAGCAACCACAGCAACAATCGCAGCCGCCGGCAAAACCACAGGAGTACAAACGGAACGACCTCTTCCAGCAGCCCTGTCTGCTGCCCTTTGCCCTGCACGCCCTCTTCCTCGCCACCTTCTGTCTTCTGTTCATGCACGTCGAGGTAAGTGCAGTGTCCACTCATCTTTGCGAAATGATTTCCGCAGTCTAACCTGTTTGTTTGTTCGTTCATCAGGTGGCCACCCGCCTGCTCTTCTCCGCCAGTCCCTGGCCGATGTGGGCGCTGGTCCACGTGGGCACCTTCAACTGGCTGGGCAGTTGGAGCCGGGGCCTAGTCACCGCCTGGCTGCTCGGCTACTGCGTCCTCGGCACCACCCTCTTCGCCAACTTTCTCCCCTTTACCTGAGCCAATTCCCAGACTGAACTACTTGCTCCTATTTTGTCTTTATTTCTTATGTTTTGATGTTTTTATTTTTATTTTTTATATTATTTTTATTTGGAAGTTTTCAATCAACACATTATCATATTAATCTGTGCCATCAACAATGAACATAAACGAGTAACAATTTTTTGTTGTCTTTTTACATTCATTCATTCAAGGAAACATTACATCTGTACACTGTACACATTCGTGAGAATGGAAACCGACCTGAAATGGATTAAAAGAGAAAATGTATACAAAAGGAGAGATAGAGCAAGTGATTAACAACAGAACAACAAGTAACAAAATAGAAGTCCAAGGAGGAGGAGGAGGA